GAGCTCCGACACAGGTCTCAAAAATACTTTTGTCCCATCTTGCCTGGATACCTTCACCTCCGCTGTGCGGACCTTATTGTCCTGGCTAGGGAAGACTTGGGTGATTACTCCAAGAGGCCATTCATTTCTCTTGAGCTGCTGATCTCTGAGAAGTACAATGCTCCCAGGCTCCAGATTGGGGTGACTGTCCTGCCACTTTCTTCTTGGCTGCAGTGAAGAAAGATACTGTCGTCTCCATTTGCTCCAGAAAGTCTGGGCCAGATGCTGCACCTGACGCCATTGTTGTTTACACATATCTTTGACATTGGAGTCTTCAGGTGGAGCTGATGGAGTGCCCATCTTCTGAGTTAAGAGAGTGGCTGGGGTTAGTAGAACTGGGTCACTTGGATCAGTAGATACTGGTATGACAGGCCTGGCATTGATAATTGCCACCACTTCTGCCATCAGCGTAGTAAGGACCTCATGCGTCAAGTTTGATGTCTCAAGATGCAGGAACATTGAATCCAGGATTCTTTTGGCTATTCCTATCATCCTCTCCCATGCGCCACCCATGTGAGACGCATGTGGAGGATTAAAGACCCATGCACAACCTTTTCCAGCTAGGTACTTCTCAACAGACGTGGAATCAATATTGGATGGAATCTTTAGTTCAGTTGACGCACCCACGAAGTTTGTGCCTCTGTCCGAACGTATTTGTTTCACAGGACCTCGAATAGCTAGAAACCTCCTGAGGGCATTGATGAAGCATGAGGTGTCCAGAGATTCTATGACCTCTATGTGGACTGCTCTAACGGCCATACAAGTGAATATAACTGCCCATCTCTTACTATGGGAGAGACCACCTCTTGTACGCCGTGCAACAACACTCCATGGGCCAAACATGTCCAGTCCAACGTAGGTAAATGGAGGTTCCATAGAGAGGCGATCTGATGGCAGGTCAGCCATCTTTTGTTGTTCAGGGAGGCCGCGGAGCTTTCGACATGTGACACAATGGTGGATGACAGTGCTCACCAATCGCTTCATACCTATTATCCAGTAGCCTGCTGCACGGATGGCACCCTCTGTGAAGTGGCGTCCCTGGTGCAGGGTTTGTTCATGGAAATGTCTGACCAGCAATGTTGCAATATGGTACTTACAAGGAATGATCTTAGGGTTCTTTTCTTCATGAGGAACCTCTCCATGTCTTATCCGACCACCAACTCTGAGGACGTTGTGTGCGTCAATGAAGGGATCCAGGGTCCTAAGAGGACTCCCCTGAGGGATCACCTTATTCTTTTTGAGACAGGCCAACTCTTCAGCATATGCCTCTTCCTGCACAGTTTGAATAATGACGTGCTCTGATAAACTGAGTTGATCAGGTGTACCTGCTTTCTGACAGAAATGCCACCCCTTGCATTGCATGGTCCCTTTGACCTTACGTGTGTGAAAGCTGTTCACAATGTGAAGGAGATTAGCAATGGCACGTTTCAAAGCTTGCCAGGAAGAAAATTTGGAGAAACGGTGGGACCCAAGTAGTGTGCGAGAAGCCTGTGTTTGCAAAGTAGAGATTTGCGGGCGGATCTCAGCGTCCATGTTTGCATCCACAAGCTCAAAGGATTCTGGTTCTAGAGAATCTTGCACAGGCTCAGTCAGAAAAGGAGGTCCAGTGAGCCAAGAGGTATCTGAGAGAAAGGCAGCCGGTACAGACCTTGTCGCACAGTCTGCTGGATTTTCCCCTGTAGACACGTACTTCCACTGCTTAGGATGAGAGGACCTTCTGATGCGGACAATACGATTGCTGACATACACATAAAAGCGTCTTGTCTCGTTATTTATGTATCCGAGCACTACTTTGCTATCAGTGTAGAAGGTGATAGCATCGATGCGCATGTCAAGCTCTGATGATATGAAATCTGCTAACTCCACGGCAAGTACAGCTGCACAAAGCTCAAGTCTGGGGATTGTGTGTTCAGGTCTGGGTGCCAGCTTCGCCTTACCCATAACAAAGCCAGTATGAGTATTCCCTGCTTCGTCCACCACCCTGAGATAGGCAACTGCTGCAATAGCCATTGTTGATGCATCAGAAAAAACAAACAGTTCTCTCCTCTTTGTTGTTGAAAGAAAGGCTTTGGTATAGGCTCTTGGGATCATCACGCCACTTAGGTCTTTTAGTGAATCCCGCCAAGACTTCCATTGTTCCTGCATCCCTTCAGGGAGCTGAGAATCCCAGTCACATCTTTGTTGTGTGAGCTCTCTTAGAATGTGCTTCCCTTGAATGGTCACGGGAGCCACAAATCCCAAGGGGTCATACACGCTATTTACCACTGATAGGATGCCTCGGCGTGTGAAAGGCTTCTCTTCTTTGTTGACTTTAAAAACAAACATGTCGGACTCCAAGTTCCAATTTAGTCCCAAGCTGCGCTGTACAGGTAGAATATCTGAGCTCAGATCCAAATCCTTCAAGTCATTTGCGCGATCTTCAGGTGGGAAAGCCTCCATGACCTCTTTGTTGTTAGAGGCGATTTTGTGGAGCCTCAGGTTGGAGTTTGCCAGAACATCCTGAGTTTTCTTCAACAGACAGACAGCACAAACTACACCCTTTTTGGCTCCTACCTCAAAGCACACTGTGTTCTGTTGTGCTGCACAATAATGTTTAACATTTAGTATTTACTGTCATATTCCCATATATCATTGTGATGTTGTTTATTCTATTACTCTTGTTCTCTTCTGCTTGCTTTCTTTTTTCTTTCTCAGCAGGTGACCCAGGTGATTGATATATGCATTTTTTTTTCTCTGCCCGTTCTGTTGGTTTTTGTCTTTTGCCCTTCTCCCCCGTCCCTCTTCTCAGCTGTTTCTCTTTCCCTCTTTCTTTCTCCCCTTCTTTCCCCCAGTCAAGTCTGTCCCGTATTCAGTAAGTGAAAATAAAATAAACAATAAAAGGTGAATCAAATGGACCATTACGGCAAGGCTGGGATGGTCAGTTTGGTAAAGTAAATCCGTTGGGCATCTTTCTTTGCCTTTAGACAACAATTCTGAGGGCAAAAGAGCCAAACGGGACAGGCCAAAAAAAAAAAAAAAAAAAAAGGAAATAAATCCACAGCTATAATGGTTTCTGCACAGTTTTACTTGTGCAGGTGTGGCTTGTGGGATTCACAAAGACACTCAAAAACTCCAGACACTAACTGACAAGAAACGTTTACGGTATAATGACCTTGATTGTTGTTATACTCTTAGAACAGTTGAAAATGCTCACATTCATACTCGCTTCAAGTTTTAAAGTGCCAAATATTATTTACTGAATTTAATGAATCATTTAAAGGGAACTAACAGTAATTTAATTTGGTTATTTACTATAACTTTAAGTAAAATGTAGGAAAATGATGTCATATTAATTTTAAGTAATGCAGTTTCATTTTATTAATTTATTTTCAACAGTTCATAAATGTGTGAATAATGTATTTGTATATGCCAGCCATTTAAGATAACCCACAGACTTTAGTCTTCAATAAAACTGAAATGCAGAAAACACAATCTGCATGTTTACCTTAAGAAGACTGATAATCATTCTATAGAAGAGAAAGAATATGAAGAGGAATATGAAGGAGGAAGGACCACAGCTCAGATCGCTAAGATAAACCAAGAAGTGGAATGTACAGTATACTTGGTTAGAGGAGATCTATGTGCACCTGTTTTCTTTTCTTTCTTTATTATGGTAATGTTGAGTGTTCTATTTAAGGTAAAAGGGGGTCTCAGTTTGACGAAGTTTTTACTCATTTATTGCCTCAAGCAGTTCAAAAATAATTAATGTATATGGATCCTCTACACAGTCTGCAAACAGAGCGCCCTAACTTAACCATACACAGACTTAACTATGAAAAATGTGTGACTACCTGGTTAAAAAACATTGGGGACGGCCATGGTTTAGATGTAGCCCCCTCGGTAGGCACACAGGTTGGTCTCGGCACTCCTCATTTCCAACTCATGTGGAGCTTCACCTAGTGGTGGGAACCTGCCGCTGTCAAACTATCTTTTCTCACACACACACTGGCCTGTCTCTTCCTAACCTGTTATCTAGTTTCATATAGTGATGCGCGAATCATGAACGAATCGTTCAATACTCGAGAAACACTTTACTGACTCATGAATCATGATTCACAAGCCCAACTGACTCACTGACTCATCCCTGTTGCTGTTAGCAGCAATGTATCTAGCTTATAATTAAAATTGTGGAGAAAAACACAACATCCAGTATCGTAACAAAAAAATTTGTGCTCTGAACTGGAAGAAAAAACCCTGAGTAGAAGCTCACATCAAGAAAATAGCTCCTTGGTTCACAGTAGCATCGCTCTGCTAACATGCTAACAGCACATTTGAGCTACTCACCCCCTCCCTCCTGTGCTGAATCACAGAGCGAATGAATCACTCACTCACCCCCTCCCTCCTGGCTCACAGCTTCTTCTTCTTCTTGGTTGGCAACCAATGTTAAGGCGCATTACCGCCCCCTGGCTCACAGCTCAGTGGACATTTAGATGAGAAAATATATATGTAACACATTTAAGGAAAATACTAATAAAATAAAAAATAAAAATATATTAAAATAAAATAAAAATAAATAAATATTTATTAAGCAATTTTGATAGAAAATTGCTTAATTTTAGAAATATTTTTGCTCTTTTTTGCTCTATAAAATAGTTGTTTTCTTTTAGAATCATTCATCTTAGCAGTAGGATTTACATGAAAAGAGAAACAAATTAAGTTTGAGTGAAAATGTACATTTTTTGCACTCTCTGGTCGACTGACTCAGTGAATCAAATGACTCAAAAATCCGATTCACTTTGGTGAGTGACTCATTAAAACTCGATTCAGTAAAACGAATCAAATTTACCATCACTAGTTTCATACGCCCGAGGCAGCATCTGTCTGTGAGAGCCTTTATTTGACCTTGCACTGGTTCACTCCCGCATTCTTGCACAAAGCCTTCCACTAAGTCTCACAAACAACTCTCAAATCATGTGAATTAATAACTTTTCAACTCATTTTATTTCGAGTCCTCAGTAGTGCAATTAGCTATCAACATGATCTAAAATTAAGTACAGTCCCCATACCGTTTGCCAGTTAAGGTTTTGTAAACCAAACTTTTCTAGTCATCCCAGTAATACATTTTTCCTCTTTGTTTAATAGTCTTAATGAAAAAGTGAAAAATGTATGTCTGCTTTTACTCTCATTTCATTTATCTACACATATACCAAAGAGTAAAACGGAGAGCACACATGTCAAGCAACTGGAAACTTGGCTCACACAGGCTGAACAACAAGATGATGACAACAAAAAGCACAGATTTTGTCTCACAGTGACTGACATCACAAGTGCACAGGTTTTTCATACAAAAACCTCTCACACACAAAGAATGACACAAGCACAAAATATCACACTTAAAGCTTAGTAGTCACATTCACATACATTCAAATCACCATAGAAACTGGACACTGATTTTTGAATATTTTCAGATCGGACATGGCAGGTGAATATTTTGTTTGGACCTTTTTTGTACCAGTTTTCATTGGTGGTGGTGTAAAGACTCATGCTTCGCCATTTCTTGTCATTTTTGCTCTGCTGTGCACGGACGTTGGTGCCTGTAACATAACGTCCATGTGTAGTTGCAGAAGTTTCTGTCCATTCGAGTTTATACATCTTTTTCACAGCACTGGTGACCAGACACACCAGTGTGATTTCATCCTGAGGATTTAACTGGTCAGTGTGCAGCTGGGGGGGGGGGATGTGGACTGTCACTGTTGGCTCTGTCAGAAAGAGATACTCAGTTAAACAGAGACATTTGTGTACAAGTTTAAATAGAATACATTGAGTTATGGATATATGTAGACTGATAGATTGATGTGTGTGTGTAATTGTAACATACTGTTAGTCAGATCGGCAGTTGTGGAAACATCTGCTGAGGAGAAAATCAAAACAATTTTACTTAGATGAAACTACTGTATTTGATAATATGTCATTTCTCATCTTATTGGCTATTAATTCCCATCAAACTGATTCTACATTTTTTGCATTTTTTAAATCCCTTCAAAAGCTTGGTTAAATTTTAAAATATATTACTTTATAGCACTTTAATGTCAGTAAAAGAGAACTGAAATAAACAAATACAATCAATTGTATGTTGCTTAGTATAAGGCTCACCTGGTTATATCTTGTTTTATTACAAGTATTTTGTTTTTTCAAAGAAAAGTATCAGTTACCCACCTAGTGTGTTGTCTCTGTCAGTTTTATTCAAAGATCCACTTTGACCTCCCGTAAACACACAAGTGAATTCAGTATCTTCATTCACTTCACTGGAATTTACTGTCAGAAAACTTGCTGCGTTGTACACTTTCTTTCCATCTGCCTTTCTTGATTCAGAAACTGTAGTGATCAGATCTATTTTGCTGGTGATCTCTGCTCGATTTTTCAGCCATTTGATGTCATGTGTCTTTGGTGCAAACTCTTTGGCAAAGCAGGAGGCAGTATAGGTACCGTCCTCATCAGGAGAGGAAATCACTTTAAGAGTTGGATTCTGCTCAAACACCACTGAAAAGCAAAGATATACACACGTATGTATGCAAAATAAAGCGAGAGAAACTGAGGCAAAAATATGTAACTGTTTTCATACTAGGGCTGTGCATGCCGGCTCGGACGTCGCCCGGATCAACAAGGTCCGCGTCAGGTGTTGAGGAACCAGGGCACCCTGACGAAAAGTGGGCTACTGGAACAAGAAGGCATCGGTGGGCAAGAGACGAAAACAGGGCATTGTTGGAATGCTACTACGCAAGTAACCCTGGCGGAAGGGGCTACATGAATAGGATGAGGGACCTATGGATTCTTCGATACCCAACATCCACAATGACGGCGAAACAACTAGTAGCTCAGTGTTCCAACATTCGAAAGAAGGGACTGCTCTCACAGCTAGAGATTGACGAGGTACAACACAAATGCTACGGCAAGGAGGAGTCAGGACGCCAGGTCAGGGGGGAGATATCATCACCCGAGATTGGGTACATAGCCCCAAGTGCGATAGGAGAAGGATCGTTGAGTGCGAGAGGAACTGACCTGAAAAATAGGATCATGGCCAAGCTTGAAACCTGGATCCCCCGTAGCCGGTTACCAAGATTACGTGAAGTACCCTCAGAAGGTCTGCTAGATGATGTTAATGCAGCACTACGGGCAATACCTACAACCACGATTACCGACACTAACAAGCTCATCTACAATACGGCAACAGTGATCAGTGAGATGCTTGGCTACAAGTTGAACAGCGACAAGGGGCAGTACCCTCCATGGAGAAGGAGGCTAGAGGGCAAGATCAAAGTAGCACGGAGGGAGGTTAGCCAACTAACGGAGTTGCAGAAAGGTGCGACAAATAAGGTGCCTAAGAAATACAGCAAGCTGTCCATACCTGAGGCCTTGGAAACTGCCAAGCAAAGACTCACAGCCTTGGCCAGCCACTTGAGGAGGTACACCAGAGAGATAGAAGGCAGGAGAATAAACCAGCTGTTCTCCACAGAACCAGCAAAGGTGTACTCTCAGTGGCAAGGGAACAATAAGAGAACAGCACCACCAAGGCTGGAGACGGAGCAATACTGGAAGAGCATATGGGAGAAGGATGCAACCCATAACGGCAATGCTCAGTGGCTAGAGGATCTGAGGGCAGACCACAGCGACCTCCCTGAACAGGGTCCAGTAACCATCACAGTGGCAGATATCCAAGAAAGGGTCTCCAGTATGAAGAGTTGGACAGCACCAGGGCCCGACATGGTTCACGCCTACTGGCTGAAGAAGCTGACTGCACTCCACGAGCGTCTGGCAGCACAAATGAACCAGCTGCTAGTTAACGAGAGACACCCGGAATGGCTAACTGAAGGCCGGACGGTCCTGATCCCCAAGGACCCCAAGAAGGGACCGGTCCCTCCAACTACCGACCAATAACCTGCCTCAGTACTACATGGAAGCTCCTGTCAGGCATCATATCGGCTAAGATGAACAGGCACATGGGTCAATACATGAGCGGGACACAGAAAGGAATTGGCAAGAATACCAGAGGCGCAAAACACCAGCTACTGGTAGACAGAACAATCAGCCGAGACTGCAAGACCAGACTGACCAACCTGTGCACTGCCTGGATTGATTACAAGAAGGCCTATGACTCAATGCCCCACAGCTGGATACTGGAATGCCTAGAATTGTACAAGATCAATGGGACCCTAAGAGCCTTCATCAGGAACTCAATGGGGATGTGGCGTACAACACTAGAGGCCAACTCCAAGCCCATAGCACAAGTCACCATCAAGTGCGGGATCTACCAAGGAGATGCTCTGTCCCCACTGCTGTTCTGCATAGGCCTGAACCCCCTCAGTGAGATCATTAACAAGACTGGCTACGGATACCGACTACGGAACGGAGCAGTTGTCAGCCACCTCCTGTACATGGATGACATCAAGCTGTATGCCAAGAGTGAACGAGACATCGATTCACTGATCCACACTACCAGGCTATACAGCAATGACATTGGAATGTCGTTCGGACTGGAGAAGTGTAGTCGGATGGTAACAAAGAGAGGGAAGGTAGTCAGAACTGAGGGGCTTGAACTACCAGAAGGCAACATTGCAGACATAGAGGACAGTTACAAGTACTTGGGGATCCCACAGGCGAATGGGAACCATGAAGAGGCCGCTAGAAAAGCTGCAACCACCAAGTACCTGCAGAGGGTCAGGCAAGTCCTGAGGAGTCAGCTGAATGGTAAGAACAAGATCCGGGCCATCAACACGTACGCCCTGCCCGTGATCAGGTACCCTGCTGGGGTAATAGGCTGGCCAAAGGAGGAGATAGAAGCCACTGACATAAAGACAAGAAAGCTCCTTACCATGCATGGAGGGTTTCACCCCAAATCCAGCACCCTGAGGCTGTACGCTAAGCGGAAGGAAGGGGGCCGGGGACTGGTGAGTGTCAGCACCACAGTCCAGGATGAGACAACGAACATCCAAGAATACATTGGGAAGATGGCCCCAACTGACCGAGTGCTCAGTGAATACCTCAGGCAGCAGAAACCCAAGAAAGAGGAGGGAGACGAGGAACCATCATGGAAGGACAGGCCCCTGCACGGTATGTACCACCGGCAGATAGAGGAGGTGGCTGATATCCAGAAATCCTACCAGTGGCTGGACAAAGCTGGACTGAAAGACAGCACAGAAGCACTAATCATGGCAGCACAAGAACAAGCTCTGAGCACAAGATCCATAGAGGCTGGGGTCTATCACACCAGGCAAGACCCCAGGTGCAGGCTGTGTAAAGATGCCCCAGAGACAATCCAGCACATAACAGCAGGGTGCAAGATGCTAGCAGGCAAGGCATACATGGAACGCCATAACCAAGTGGCCGGCATAGTGTACAGGAACATCTGTGCCGAGTATAACCTGGAAGTCCCGAGGTCAAAATGGGAGATGCCCCCAAGGGTGGTGGAGAATGACCGAGCTAAGATCCTGTGGGACTTCCAGATACAGACGGACAAAATGGTGGTGGCTAACCAACCGGACATAGTGGTGGTAGACAAACAGAAGAAGACGGCCGTAGTGATCGATGTAGCGGTTCCGAATGACAGCAATATCAGGAAGAAGGAACACGAGAAGCTGGAGAAATACCAAGGGCTCAGAGAAGAGCTCGAGAGGATGTGGAGGGTGAAGGTAACGGTGGTCCCCGTGGTAATCGGAGCACTAGGTGCGGTGACTCCCAAGCTAGGCGAGTGGCTCCAGCAGATCCCGGGAACAACATCGGAGATCTCTGTCCAGAAGAGCGCAGTCCTGGGAACAGCTAAGATACTGCGCAGGACCCTCAAGCTCCCAGGCCTCTGGTAGAGGACCCGAGCTTGAAGGATAAACCGCCCGCAGGGGCGTGCTGGGTGTTTTTTTATATATAAATTTTTACACACACACACATATATAAATATATACTGAAAACGGCTACGGCATTTGATAATGCATTACAATGCATTATAGTTATCAGGTCTTGTCAAACTTATTCTGCATTTCTGTAAACTTTTAAATTCCTTCAATTTTTTTGCCTTTGCAATAGTGCTTTCATGCAAAGTTGTTATAAGCCAAACAGAATGAAATAAACAGATTAAAAATGACTTAGCATAAGGCTTACATGGTTTTGTGATGGGAACCTGTCCATTTCTCTCAAGGAAAGTATCAGTACTCACCTACTCCCGTCAGCACACAATTAAATTCAGTGTCTTCATTCACATCATTTGAATATACTGAGAGAAAACTTTCTGCATTGTACACTTTCTTTCCATCCTTTCTTGATTCAAAAACGGAAGTCGTAACTTTAAATGGCAGATCTATTTCCCTGGTGACGTCTTTTCCGTTTATCAGCCACTTGAAGTCATGTTTCTTTGGTGCAAACTCTTTGGCAAAGCAGTGGGTCATATTGGTGCCATCAGTAGTGTGAATACCCTGTATTTTAACACTTGGATTCTGCTCAAACACCTCTGAAAAACAAATATGTACACAGATGTATGTATGGAAAAGTTTGGACACACCTTCTCATTTACTTGTTTTTCTTTATTTTTACTACTTTCTACATTGTAGTAGACACTGTAGACATCAAATATACAAAGCAAAATTATGTAGCAAAGAAAAAAATGATAAATAATCAAAAATATGTTTTATATGTAAGATTCCTGAAATTAGCCACCCTTTTCTTTGAAAATTTAATAGATTTTATAGAAAGTTATCCTAACCAGGAATTAAAAACCACAAAAATTATTATTTTCCGTGGTATTTATTTATTTTTTAGTAAAAAGTTTTACCTGCACGGCAAACAGTCAAAAGCAGCAGCACTGTCCTACAGTCCATCTTGTTTAACTGTGTGTGCTTTGGTCCACTATCTCTGGATGGTTTCAGCATTCGGATTAAGTAGAGGTGGAAGAAAGAATATTTGCATTTGCACCTCCTCAAACCCATGACAGAAAAGTTGAATAGTTAAAGAGTTTTCACTCAGAATAAATTACCCCACCCTACAAAAAATAGAAAAAAAAAACTGTGTTGAAAACTGTGAATTATTAATTTGTGCACATTCTTCTCTGTTGTCACACAAGTAGAACTAGAATGGAATTCACATTCATCTCTATTGTGTTGAACCTTGAAATTTAAGCTGCATTTTAATGCTGAATTACAGCTATGAATTAATGTGAATCCTTGAATACCTGTTACCTTTTCTGAGACTGTGTTTTGTCTTTGAGGCAGCAGTGTACATAACGCTGTCATTAAATGTAAGAGAAAAAAAATCAAAACTAAAAAAATAGACATAGGAAAACCATATTGTGGAAAGCAGCCGAGAAGGATGCATCAGCAAATCAACTCTGACTAAAGCTGGGCATACACTGTGCGAATTTTTTCAGTCGCGTTATTCAGCTTCTCAAACTGCACGCTTGACTCGCAGGGGTTAGAAGTTCGTAGGTCACTATGCAGGGTCTCACACTATACGCCCGATGCTCTGATGCGACCCGAGTGCTCACACTGTGCGTCCATAAAATGAAGGTTATAACAGAAATTCTGTCGCTCTCTGTCTTTCACTCACACAGACACGCACACCACCACCATCAACTTTGCTAAATTGCTAATGAAAAACACTGATCAGGCAGCTGTGATTGAGCAGCAATGTAAATCCAACTATTTTCACGGTTGTTGTGGTCGTGATAATTTTGTGAGGCCACATTGAAAAGGCTCGGATGAGCTTGCCATAGTTCTACAAGTTGTGCCTCCATCGCTTGTGTCCAGATCACACGCTGCACTGCCGTGCTACTCCGTCTTTTTCACCGACATTTACGTGTTTGCGCGTGCGCAGTGTGAGAAGTTGCGGTGACACCCTTACGACGGTCGTGAGGATTTCAAACAGGTTCGAAATCCTCACGACCAAGCGATTGATGATCGGGAGCTGGTGGTGAGGTGTTAATCGCTTCTCGTTACCCCACGTATACTACACGACACACGATGAAGGCCAAACTCTGGCCGATCACCAAAACGGTCACATGACTGAAAAATCGGCTCAAAATGGGCCACAAATCGCACAGTGTAAGCCCAGCTTTAATGGAGCTGACAGTTAAGAGTTTTTGCTTGTGTAAACACCTGATATAATACATATTAAATATTACATTCTTGATTTAAATGTAGTTACTTTCACAGTTATGAAGTGAGATTTTTTTTTTTTGCTTATCCGAGTTTTACTTGTAGAGACTAAAATATTAATTTATTATAATCAATTAAAAGCACTCTACCTGATACAATACAGATAAAGCCAAATGTTCTCTATCATTGTAATGAAAGGATCAAATCTTTGTATGAGTCCTCTAGTACTCAACTCACTGTGTATCCTTTGGCACAGTAATTCACTGCTGTGTCCTTGATCTTCAGATCGTTCATCTGTAGAAAGAATTTACTGCTGGAGTCATCTCTGGAGATGGTTAATCTACCCTGGACTAACTGGGAGTAATGGACAAGAGTACTATCTGTGTGTATAAATGCGATAAACTCCAGCCCTTTACCAGCAGCCTGTCTGATCAAGCTCCACACTGAGCTTCCAAAGGTAAATCTTTCTGTCTATCTAGTCAATGCGACTCTCCGTGTCTTTTGACAGCTGGTTCAGATTCTGTTTTTGTCACAGAGAGTGGAATTAAAGGTGAAAGTTCTGTAAACAGTTCAATGTGCAAACAAACAACAGTGATCTCCTCCCACTTCTCAGATAGTGCATGTCAGTGATGTCCAGATGGTATTCCTCTTGTGCTCTGCTGTGAAATCTTTTGGATTTAGGGATTATCATAGTTTACATCAGGGGTGTCCAAACTTTTTTCACTGAGGGCCACATACATAAAAATATGGGGCCACTTACTAGAAATTAGGTATATAGCCTTAACTTTAGTGTATTAAAGTTAGAAAAATCACTTAAAAGTGGTCAAATATGTTATATTGTTGAATATAATTAAAGACAAAACTGCCTTCATCACAGCTTTCCATAAATGGATCTTTATTGATTTATTGAGAAAAAGCTTTGGTAGCTCATTCTCAGAACAGCAGCCTCAAATTTCTTCTTAGACGGAAGATTTACAGTACAGAGAAAAAAACAAAGGGGAAAATGGGACGGGTACATTTCAAGCTTGTTATTTAAGTTACCGGTATTAGGCTTAGCAACACACCTATTAACGTTCGTTTGAAACCGTTATCAACATTAACAGACTGAACTGGACTTAAAAACAGACTTAATAACTAATTTTAGTAAATTATTCTGGTGAGTATCAGCTGCGCCGGGTATGTAAATCGGGCCATCCAGCTGCGGTGCTGATCGTACGCCGCTCGTGCCAAAAATCCGGACAAATGTCACTTGATCAAGGAGCAGATATGCATCAGATGAGATCAGCTGATTTTGCGTGTGCACAGCGGTGTGTACTGTGTGTTAACAAAATAAACGCATATAAGAAAGTGGTGCGCAAAAGCAGGGTGGTGACAGAATTGATGCGCATTATTGATATTTGAAGCATGTGTACCTGCACATTAACACACGGGTACTGTGGAATATATTTTTTACTCACCTAAAGTGCTTGTGCTCTCGTCCACTTCCCGCAAAACAATTAGCAGCTGTGCGGTGTCTGTGGCATCGGTGCTCTCACTGCTTGTGATGGAGTAAAAATCAAAAGCACAAGCTTTATCAGACAGTTGCAGTTTAATGTTGGCTGACAAGTCCTCAGTGCGTCGCACAACTGTATTTCTGGACATGCTGACGTTGTTTAAGTCCTGCACTTTTTCCGGGCACATTATTTCGATGAGGTCTCCATCTGAAGACATTCAGTCAGCTGTATGTCTGTAACTGAAGGTTGTCATGCTCCTTGTTATACAGTGAGGATGTGAACAAACAAAGAGCAGCTAATGAAGTTGGTTATTTTCAAACTCACCCTTCATTTGCCCAGCAGGGATATATTAGTTTTGAGTTTCATGATTAACTGAGTTCAAAATAATTTTCTTATTTGCTTTGAAGTGTTAACAACCAGACTTTGTCAGTGAAGCCTTTTAGGAATAGTAGGGATTATTATTTTAATAACAAAATCTGTTCACTGAAATAAACACAGCTATACATTTTATACAATAAAAGTCAAATGTGCATTGCTGTAACAAGAAATAGTACTAGGTATATCTATATAAGCAATCCACCCCAGCTCTTTTCCTGGAGTCTGTCTGATCCAGCTCCACTCTGAGCTTCCAAAGTTAAATCCAGATGTTGTACATGTGAGTCTGTGTGACTCTCCAGGTCTTTTAACAGTTGGTTCAGACTCTGTTATGGTCCCACTTTCAGCAAAATGGAAAACAAAGAGAATAAACAACAGGAGTGTTTGCTTTGTGTAACTCGTGATAAGAGAGTGCCTGTTATGTTTTCAAATCTGTGAATTCCCTTTAAATAAGATATAAACTGGATTCAAACTGGATTCCTTTGAGACTGTGTTCCCAGTTTGCTCCTCCTACTTACATTTATTAAACTGAAACTCAGAAGTACAGCAAAGAGAAAAACGAAAAACAAAGAAAAAAGAAATGTATAAATATATATTTTTAAAGAATGTCTTTAGAAATTTCTTCTAATGAAATTTGACTAATTTGTTGAAACTTTGACTAATTCTAACTAATTCTGACCAACTAGGAGCTGACTAGTTAGTAAGCCAGTTAATTCTTTTTTTCATACCTTTGTGCTACTGAAAGTTAAAACTTCATGACTCCAAAAGTCAAGAATGCGTCAGTATTCAAATTGTGTTTTCAGTCACAGAAATACCAGGAAATACTGCACCACAGAAAGTAATAACTCAGGAAATGAAACAGGTGTGACTGAGTGCAAAAATATAACAATAAAAAATAAAAATACTGCACATTGTTCTGGCTCATTTTAAAAAAATAAATTGATATGAAACTGCTCTAACCTTTTATTTTTCAAGCTTATGGCTTTATTTTAAACTTTATGCTAACTGACTTATTATTGCAAGATTGTTTAATACTCTAATTTGCTTTTTGGATTTTGCAGAAGTGAAACTGTTAAATGTGTTAATCTCACATTTCTCCATTGCACCTGCAAAAACAGCTGCTATCTGCTGTCAACTCTGGAGGTGGAGCTGTTGAAGTGAGTGACTGCTACTGAGAGCAATATTTTCTGACAATAACATTAGTAATCAGCAGCAGCAGCTGTTTAAAAATGAATCTAGAATATGACGGTGCTCTGGAGGTTTGTACAGAGGAATAGCAGCAAGTTCTTCTTCCAATATTTGACCTGAAGGTAAAAAGTTCTGGTCGACACATGTTAAGTCAGAGTTCTACAGAAAATTCGCATCACTCTCAAAGTTTGAACCCTGATTAATCTTTCCAGTCCAATCCAGAGTTTGCCCTGACCTCTTTGGTGAAGCCCTGTTTAAGTTAGTTTCTGATCTTGGAGTTTAACTGGAGCAAGTCAGACATTTGAAAACATCAGATCCTTACATATTCAGCAAAATGAGTGTTGAGAGACACAGAGAGTGACATGGCTGTGGATTGCTGACAAGAGGAGTATGTTATTCTTCCTCTAATTTCCCTCGATGGGCAGACAATAGCATCCCAAGATCCATCTCTTAGATTAAACCAAGAAACACGAGAGGATCAACCACTGACAAACACTGTGGACTCACAAACTGGATTTATATATTTTATCTTTTTCTCTGCTCTTCTTTCCCATGTTGGACTATAGCATCCTGCTACATTATAGCTTCCAAGGATTTGGCTCCCTAAAAATTGTTTTAATAAATAATTTGGTAAAATTGTACCAAATTGTTAACATTCCTTTACAACCAGGTGAAACCCCGTATATTATTACTCAGAGGGCTCTTACAGGATACTCTAGCCTTGAAAGTTAGCAGGTTCTTGGGCCTTATTTTTATACTAAATCTTAACACAGTTGCCAAGTGCACTGAGGGGAGAGCTACTGATAAAGGATGTGACTGAAGAATCCATCCAAACTACTCATTTCCTACTGTGTGATACCCATAGGATCAGAGACTCAGACTTTTTAAACAGAGAGCATATTCCAGACTTTCCAGTTGCTGCAGTTGAAAGCATTTTTAACCGACCGCCACATCTTTAATAATGGAATCACCTTCCATTATCAAAATTACATTTCTCTCAGCTAAACTTTCCATTGATGTCCTCACGGAATTACAGAAGACCCGAATGGTGAAGTGACAGGAATGTAATGAACTTCTCAGACAAGTGCAATAGATACTTTACAGCAGGATTAGTTTTAATTGTATTAGTATTAGTATGGATGATGTTTGCATTATACTACAGTTATTATGCAAGATAAAAGTATCATAATGAGGACTGCAGGATTTTGTACAGCTGCTTAAACAACTTCAGTCACTGTGCGTCTCTAGCACAATAATAAACAGCAGAATCTTCAGTCTTCAGACTGTTCATCTGCAGATACAGCTGCCGTTTGTTGTTGTCCCTGGAGATGGTGAACCGGCCTCTGACTGACTGAGAGTAGTTAATAGTGCTACCAGCCCAATAAGAAATGCCAGCAATCCACTCCAGCCCTTTGCCAGGGGTCTGTCTAATCCAGTGCATCCAGTAGTCTCCAAAGTTAAATCCAGATGTTGTACAGGTCAGTCTGTGGGATTCTTCTGGTCTTTTAACTGCAGGTTCAGATTCTGTCAGAGTCTGACCATCCACACCTGGCAACAAGAAAAAAATAGAGAAATATTTAAAAATGGAAAAAGAAAGGAAACATAAGGACATCAGGAAAGGGAGAGTCACCTGCCCAGCAGACAGTTAAAAGTAGCAGTGCTGTCCAGTAGTCCATCTTGTACAACTGTTTCTGCCCACTATTCTGTCACATTCTAAGCAGTCAGACAAATAAATGTTGAAAACAATGAAACATTTGCATTGACTCCTCCTTAAAACCTGGAAAGAACTGGTGAGTCATTAATAATTTTATAATAATATTATGAAGTTTCAAAAAGTTCAGTGTGAAATCAGCAGTTTTCAAATTACAACTTAAAGCTATCAATTAGAATGAGAAATATGTTATTTGTAATTTTTTATAAAAACTGAGCTTGTTTGAGTTAAACTGCAGAATCTGTTGTAACATGTTTGACTTTCAGGTACTGGGTGCTGCTGAGGACATCTTTAGTTCTGACGAAATGAAACATATAATGGTTATAAAGCCGCAAAAGAGACGGTGAGCAAATAGGACAGTCTCAAATGCCAATGAAAAAAAAGTTTTGTAAGCGTTGTTTTAAAAGAATCAGTGAATTTCTTCTGTTGTAGCAAACCCAGATATGATATTTTGGGGTCTTTTCAACATTTTATTTAACTCTCCAAACTTCTGTTAGAGCACATGCATTTATTATGGTTGATATTTGTTTTTTTAAATCATTTTTATTTTGATTTGATAAAGATTTTTTTTCTATAAAAAAAAGAAAACAAACAGCTTATTACGCATTTCATCCTACTCTCCATTCTCATATAGGCTGTTGAATCTTTGTAAATGTCACAGTCATTGTGGTTTAATAAACACCGGCTTTCTGAGCTACACTCACTCTTCTCTAAAGGGAGAAACTTGACATTGACTGCCCTCTAGTGGGGGTTTTATTTTTGTTTGTTTGTTTTGTTTTTGTTTTTTCTCATACTTGGACAATGCATTAAGGAATTCAATTTACTGTACAAAAGATGTGTGTTTTTGTTTCCTTTTTCTTTTTGCCTCATCTTTCTAAGATTAAATATTAACAGTTTCAATAAAACCCACATAATCAGCACTGATTGTGATGGGATTTGTGTAGCTGTTAAATTAGCTCCAGTCACTGTGGCTCTCAAATAAAATCCAAAGTACAAATACAAGTACTGCTACTGCTAATAATAATAATGAATAATATTGTATCATGGTCACAAATAAACAGAATTGTAATCATAAAATTGAATTGAATTGAACTTAGTACTAGCCTACTCCCTAAAGAAATTATGTCAGATAGCAAAAAGTATCCATTGTTGTTCAGACTAACAGTTTAATGACCGTCTGAGTTCTGTGCCATTATGCTTCTTAGAGGTGCGTCACTCTGGGATGTGTGAGAGAGTGTGTTTGTGTGTGCAAGTCTCAGTGAGAAGAATTCCATAAAGCCCCTCTTTCAAGGTTACTACAGATGCAATGATAAGTCTGATGAGTGTGTTGCAGTTTTGTTTCTTTTCATTCGGGTGGAAAAGTTGTTACAGCTGGACCTGGAAAATCCATTTAAATAGCTTGAATGTCTAATGAGGCCTGAAATCTGAACAGATATGAAAAGTTTATTATTAACTGATCACCATGTTATATGAAGGATGGATACTGCTCATAATGAAATCATCTTCTTGATGGCATTGAAGGAGACAAGAATGAAGAGCATAGCTGAAAGAACTGAAAAAAAAAAGAACTTCCAGAACTTCTCAGACAAGTCCAAAAGAGACACCTTAGTAGTATTAGTAACAATAACATTACTTTTAGTAATATCCTCGTTGCATTAAAATTAAGATGCAAAATAAATAAACTGTAATTAGAATTATGCAAAGATGCCCAAGCAGGTTCAGTCACTGTGGCTCAAGCACAGTAATGATCTGGTAGTCACTAAATGTGAATCCAGAGGCTGTACAAATCAGTCTGTGGGATTCTTCAGGCCTTTTAACCACTGGTTCAGACTCAGTCAGAGTCTGACCATCAGCACCTATCAGATAAATTAAGAAAAAGAAAAAAGCAAAGAAAATGGAAATAACACAGTTACAAAGCAAGTTTTAATTTTTTCAAGACAGAATTTGGTGGGTAAGAAACGTAATTCTTTTCTGAGTAAGAAAAGTTTTTTTTCTACAATGTCCGTTGAGGGGCTCTGTAGGAAGACACTTTTGCAATCACAGCTAAATTCACAGTCTGCTCATCTACCTGTTATGTAAAGGGTGACTTCACACTGACTGCTCTCTAGTGTTCCAAAATGACTTGCGTCATTTTTGTGAACAAGGCTCAGCACTGAGAGAGAGTACAATGAATGTAATAACTGTCACATGGGACAGCAGCAAACTATTTTAGTCCTTTTACAAACCACCCCCCAACAGTGGGTGTTGGGTCTGTGTTTCCACAAACCCCACTGGTTTAGAGACTTATTCATCATGAAGAAAACAAGACAGTCAGCGATCGATCGATTTATTTGCAAGAGAGGCCTCGTTGGTGTCTACCACAAAATGACCCCAAATCCAGCCTCCTCTCGCTGCCTTTTATTGGGAAAACAGTTCACACAATACACAATAGTTTACACGCACCTCCCCTCGTAACCCCCCTTGGTTACAAAGACAAGGCACTGTATGTATATGTGTGTGTGTGTGTGTGTGTGTGTGTGTGTGTGTGTGTGTGTGTAAATATCTGTATGCATGTGAGAATGTGTGTGTGTGACCTCCTGCTGACCAAAAGGGTCATAAAAGCAGGAAGCAACATCACAATAAACAGATCTTCCAGAAAGGATGTACCTGCAATAAAACACTACATCCCCCACCCAGAACCTCGAGAATCTGGGGAGGGGGACAAAATAATTCCTTTCATCACAGAGTTAAAACAATGTAGAGATGGTAAGCATAAAAATGACAAACATTTAACAATTCACTTTAACAGTGGGATGTGGCTGCATCCATCGGAGTATGAATGCGTGTGAATGTCAGATAGAAAGAACATTGAAAAAAGTGCTTGTGCAAATGGGTGTGAATGGGTGACTGAGGCAAGTTGTGTTAAGCGATTTGAGCGCTCAGATGGAGTAGAAAAGCACTACGGTATATAAGAATCAGTCTATTTACCATTTACCATCCAGGATTTACTTAATGTGAATCCACTGGCTGTGATAGTCAGGTTAGATTGCAGCATTATATTTCAGGAACCTGTCAGACCCAGGAAAACCAAGGTTGACTGTCAGCTGTCAGTACATGTTAAACAAAAGAAAACAAATCTGCTGTAAGTTGGTAATTATATGAAGATAAAAATGATTTAAAAGCAGCATGAACTGAGTTCAAACTTAAGTTCATGTCAAGTTGCTTGCTTTGGACTTGAGGACGCTGCACTACTTATCTTGGCTGTCATCCCAAAACCTCTGCATCACTCTCGGCCAAGGCTAAAGATTTATGTGCTATCTTTTTGGGAAAACTTTTTACTCGCGAGACAAAAAGTTACAATGCAGTGACAAGTGATGTAGTGATTTTATAGGAGTAACTTAGCAAAGTTTTCAAAGAATGAGGTCAGCAGTGATTACTTTATTAACTGAGATTTGACCTTCTCTTTCTGCCCCTCTCTGAGATGACAGAGGTACAGCAGCCATCATGTCACCAGGCTAAGCTATGAAAAAAGGGAAGTCTTAGAGCAGCTACGTAAGTATTTTTTTTAATTTTGTTTTATTTTAAAATAAAATAAAAACTGTGTGTGTGTGTGTGTGTGTAGGTGTGTGTAGATGTGTGTGTTTGTGTGTGCAGTCACACACTTATGCTTATTTAGATGAACAGTCTTGTCATCTATGACTCCTATGTGATTATAATCAGTAGAATAAAGTAAAACTTAAAAAGCCTGATGAACTGATGAAGCAAGGATTCTGAAAACTTGCATTCTCTTAAAAATGCGTTTATATTCTGTTTCTTTTTATCTGGGCAAAACACTGTTACAGCTTGGACTGTGCACTTAAACAGCTAGAAAGATTATTATTGCACCTGTTTAAAAGGACCTGAAACGATCAACTGGCTGTGATCATTTTAGTTTGATTAACTCTAATAAAGAAATCATTGACATGATGGCATGATGGAGAGTTGGTGATTTATAAGGAACTTGTCCAAAAGTAACTTTCATAAAGTGATAGTATTGTCATTATAGTTCACTTTTCATGCAAGATAAATGTGGCATAATGCGGAATGTAGGATTTTGTACAGCTGCCTCAACAACTTCAGTCACTGTGAGTGTCGAGCACAATAATAAACAGTAGAATCTTCAGTCTTCAGATTGTTCATCTGCAGATACAGCTGCTGTCTGCTATTGTCTTTAGAGATGGTGAACCGGCCTTGAACTGACTGAGAATAGGAAGTAGTGCTTCCACCATAATAAATGTAAGCAATCCACTCAAGTCCTTTTCCAGAAGCCTGTCTGACCCAGACCAGGCTGTAGCCTCCAAAGTTATATCCAGATGCTGTACAGGTCAGTCTGTGGGATTCTCCTGGTCTTTTAAGCGCTGATTCAGATTGTGTCAGAGTCTGACCAACAACACCTGTCAACAGAAATAAAAACGGATATTATAACAAAATAAAACATCAAAAAAATTAAAGAAACAGAAGAACATCAGTGAAGAGTTTCACCTGTCCAGCAGACAGTTAAAAGTAGCAGTGCTGTCCAATAGTCCATCTTGTTTAACTACAACTGCCCACTGTCATGCTCTAAGCAGTCAGATAAGTATAAATGAAAGACATTAAAATATTTGCATTGGCTCCTCCTTAAAACTAGGAACGTAGTGTTGAATCATTAATGATGATTTTTTTTTTCCTTTACATTCACTTACATGAAGTCCCTCGTCTTTTCATTGATTTCTTCACAGAAACACATTTAGAAAGTTTATAGAAAAAAAGTAAATTGTCAGCTGTGTTCAGAAATATGTTATTTGCAAATTGATTTTTGCATCAAACAATGCTGCATACATTGATTGTCCTGATTGTACTGACTATACACACCATGGTTAATTAGAATTACTATTATTTATTTATGTATTTGTTATTTAAAATAATGTGCATTTTTTGTTTTATTATGGTCATGTGTTATTAGACATCTAGGATTTACTGA